GAAGAATCCAAAAATGTGGATTCCGGTCTCAGTTTAGATTCACTTAGTTTCGTGGTTCGGACAAGCAACTTTATCTCAGGGGTCACAGTTATTTTATATGTCTATCATTCTATGTTCTGGACTACATTTTTCTTGGAGTAAATCGGTATCCCAATAATGCAATCTAGTTCTCTGGCTCCAGTCTGTACCTTCAGTTCAGGACAGTAAGTCCCCAAACTCCTTCTAGATGTCTCCCAGAGTTGGCTCGTGTGCTCCTGAATCTACTGATTTTAGTTCTCTGTGATTTCTTTCTTTTTTTCTCCCTATTTTAGACTCTCTTTAGTATGTAGCTGCAGGCATCAAAATGGAACTTAAATATCTTCCCTTGACTCCAAAGCTGTAGTTCAGGGTCCCATTGGACACCGTGTGATATCTTTGGAGACCCCAGGGGACCAAAGTGGGTAGAGCTCCCAACCTCCGACATTTGCGTTATCCTCTATCATCTGGTGGGATGTGGCCTTGAGCTCCCTCTGCTCCTAGAGAGATCAATAATGTTACACTTTGACATTTTGTTTCCTATAGCCTCTCAACTGCCAGGAGCACTGCTTCAGGTCCGGCTAGGTGAAGAGAGAGAGGAAGACAAAAAGGGAGGAGGAGATTATAAACATGTAGTCATGAAGCAACATGAAGCAACATGAGTCAGACTTTCCAAGTAAACCTTTTTTGGTGGCCACCCACTTTTCTTGGACTTCCGGTGTGCCTCAAAGGGTTAGGAGAGTCATCATCCAGAGATATGACTGGGTAACTTACCCAGGAATCATCCAGTGTAAACTTTTCCATAAACTCAAAGTGTTCCAGGAGCAAGCCCATCTTTGCTGCATTGGGCTTAAAGAGTCTGGGCAATGTACCTTAAAATCATTCCCCTAGACATTCAGTTCTTTGGATTTTGTGTATTTTCCAGTCCTCTCTAAAAGTGCTAGGAAGCCCAGGCTTCATCTGAATGGAGTCTTATTTGTTAGCTGGCTAAGAAAAAGTTCATGTAGAAATGGGTCATAGTTTGGAGCCTTAGAAAGAGGAAAAAGGAGGAGCGCCTAGGTGGCTCAGTGGGTTAAGCCTCTGCCTTTGGCTCAGGTCATGATTCCAGGGTCCTGGGATAGAGTCCCACATCGGGCTCTCTGCTCAGCGGGGAGCCTGCTTCCTCCTCTCTTTCTCTGCCTGCCTTTCTGCCTACTTGTGATCTCTGGCTGTCAAATAAATAAATAAAATCTTAAAAAAAAAGAAGAAAGAGGAAAAAAGAGAGAGTATGAGTGATGTCATTTTTTGATTCATCTCATCAGGCAATTTGCTTATTCACCTTCCTTCATTATTGTAAAAGCATTCATTGAGGAGAGTAAAGGGTTGAATTGTATTCCCCCCAAAAGATATGTTGCAGTCCCAGTCTCTAGCACCCCAAAATGTGGCCCTATTTGGAAATAGTGTCATTGCAGTTTTAATTTGTGAAGATGAGCTCATCCTGGAGTAGGATGGGCCCTGTGCTCTTATAAAAAGATGGGCATGTGAAAACACACTGACACAGGGAGAATGCCAGGTCAAGATGGAGGATTAGCATGATGCATCTACAAAACAAGGAATAGCAAAGATTGCTGAAATACCACCGGAACCTAGGAAGAGGCAAGGAAGACCTCCCTTATTGGTTTCAGGAGGAGTATGATTCTGCGACACCTGGATGGCAGACTGCTAGTCTCCAGAATTCTGAGACAATGGATTTATACTGTCTTAAGGCATCCAGTTTGTTGTATTTTGTTATCATAGTCCTAAGAAACTGAGACGAGGGCCCATGTGCCAAATCTCATCCTCGTGGCTTTGGATCATAGTCAGATAAGATGTGGTCCCATCCTCAGGGAAATACCAGATAGAATTTTAAAAAAGAGACAGAGAAAGAGATTGGTTAAGAGGTTTGTATTGCTAGGAAAAGGGCTTTAACAACATTACATATAGAGTATATATGATATATATATATAATATGTATACTCTGAAATAAACAAAAGAGTTGGGCTGGGAAAAGTGGGGCTCTGATGGGATGATGTAGGTAAGAGGGCCTCTGTCTTCTTCCTTTAGAAGTCCTGATATGACAACTTCTGAGACTGAAAAGATGGTTTGTGTTTATAGCAAGAAGGAAGCAGGGATCACCAGAGGTCAGGATGTTTTCCAAGAATAGTACCTGTCAGGGTCGATTCATTACTTTGACAGGGAAGTCAGACTAGTAGATGACAAAAGGTAGCAGACAAAGGTTGGCAAGAATTCGTAGACATACCTGGTAGTTTTCCTTATGGCGCCCTTACGGACAAAGGTCAAGTGAGTTGAGTGAAGATCTACATATGGGTGGATGATTAATTAATGGAGCTGTGCTCATCTGAGCTGAGGTTTCCAGTGGAATGCCAAGGAACTCTTACGTAAGTGCTGCCTTGTTCAACATTTTTATCAGTAGTTGGAAAAGCCAAGCATTACCCATTTTGTCTTTGATGAGCCAGACTGACTCTGTCTATGCCTAGATGTATGTGCTTGGTTCTGGACGGAGCCACATACTTGAGGAGGACAGAGGGAGGTCAGAAGATGTTTTGAAGAGAGTGACTGGGTGGTAACCTGAAGGAGAATAGTAGTCACATAACAGAAAAAAAACCAAGTTAAATATCTGGAATATTCCAGCCAACCAACAGAGGACCCAAGAAAGACATGGCAGTCAAGAGATAGTATGTTTCACTTGGTTTGAAGGGTTGTGATCAATGGATCAATTAGGAAGACAATCTCAGCTTGATAGAAGAAGAGGAACTTTCAAGATGTTAGAGTAAAAAAACATGCTGACCATGAAATTTGAAAGAAAGCAAATCTTTGTGGATTAACCTACAAATTTAGTAAAAATTCTGGCAGAATTCTTTTTTTAGGAATTTAATAACTTATTCTAAATATATAGAAGAATAGAGGCCTATAGGTAGCTGAATTGGTTTTGAAAACGAAGAACAAAAATGTTATTCTTGGCCAAAGACTGGGAAGATACACCACACAGCCATGATAATAAAACAGTGTGGGCCTAGTGTCACCACAGGAAGTCAACCCATGCAACAGAAGAAAGAACTCAGTGACAGACTCATGCTTTTAGGGGAACCTGGCACGTGAAGGACACACAGCTCAGTGACGAACAAATGGACCACTCAGAGGTTATTGTGGAAACTGGAGGACTACATGGGAAAATAGAGTTGGAGGATTTACATGGTGTAAGAGCGGATGTAGAACTAAATATGAAAGAAACTCTGAAGCAAACAGAAAAAATATAGAAATCCGTATTTATGATTTGAGGGCAGGAGGGACTGAAATGAAACTGCCAGAACACAAAGCATAAGGGGGAAATAGTCAATTATCTATTTCAAAATGAAAGATTTTGAGTGATAACATATACGAAATTATGAGATTAATACTGACAGATTGGAAAGTTATTTGCAACACGAACACCATAAGAAGTTGAAGCCTCACTATACAAAATACCACAAGTAAATATCTAGGATATACAGACAAATTCACAAGTGAAAATAAGAAGCCTCGTTAGAAAATGGTCCTATTAAAACGGACCGTGGAGTCCTTGGTTTCCTCATTCTCTCTTTCAATAGGTATTTATTGAGTAGGAACACACAATATTGAGTGGGAACAGGGCTGTTCTCAGCCCTGGGGAATGATACAGCAGACAAAATTCCTAGCCCTTATGACATTTAAATACTCCACAATATTCTCTTCCATCAATAGGAAAAAGGCATTAGTTTCGACTCAAGGAATTCTCCCCTTAAATGCCAATGTTATCACTTTAAAGTTGGAGGAATTTTTAGGGTGCATCTCTCTTAAATCCATATTTTTTCCTGATGATAAACAATGTCCAGGGACCCAAAGATTGGACAGGTATGGAGACCTGACACTTCGCCCATGTTTGGACTATAAACCTAATGGTTAGATGGACCCAGAATGCCAGTGACTCACAGCTCTTCCTCTACCACCTGTTAGCATCTGGCAACTTCTCTGAGCTTCAGTTTCTTTACCAGTAAAAATGGAAATAATGGTTAGACCTGCTATAAATTGGTCTAAGATGTGTGCCTGGGTGGCTTGGTAGGTTAAGCATTTGCCTTTGGCTCAGGACCGAGCCCCATGTCGGACTCCCCACTCAGCGGGGAGTCTGCTTCTCCCTCTCCCTCTGCCTGCTGCTCCCCCTGCTTGTGCTCTCTCTCTCTCAAAGAAATAAATAAAAATGTCTTTAGAAAAAGTAAAATAAAATGGGTCTAAGGATTCAATGAGATCATATAAAAGAATAGCCTCAGGCATATGACAAAAACTTAATGTTGGCAATTTTTACCTCTGATTCTGATATTACAATCCCAAGAATTGTCATTTCCCCTGCACACCGTATTTCAAAATTCGTACGGTAACATCTTTGGGTTCTTAGGTCATTCATTTTTCTTTTCAATAATAATGAGAAAAGGAAATCCTATGCTTTCCTGGATACTATACACTGGTGATGTGTGAGGCGTGTCTCATGGATTAACCATTAATCCCAGTGTGTGAGACCTGCTAAGGGCTGCAGAGTTGGAAGGGATGTGAGAGACCAACTTACCAGGCCCAGCCCTATTCCACACAGGATTCAAAGGCCTCAAGGAGGTGGAGCCCTGCCCTGCATTTCCACAGCTGGAACCATGACACTACTTATGTGGTTATGATTAGTTGATTGTGGTTAGAAAAGATTATCCTGCTTAGGAAATCAAGGCTGTGGTTAGGAAAGATTCTAGTCATCCAGCTGACTTTGTAAAATGGAAGTGAGCTGGTGACATGAATAAGCTCCCTTAATTAGAGATCTAGACTCAAAAGGACTCGTGGTTATTCCAGGTATGAAGAATTTGCAAGACTTTGGCCTGAGTGTGTTTCAGTGCGGTGGGTGGAGCCAGCCTTCCTCATTAGAATAAGGTAAACAGATTCAGCCCAGTTATAAATGGAAAAAAGATGTGCCCTCGGTCACTGAGGGCTGCAGAGAGTGGTGTCTGGCTGGAGAGCTCGGGGCAGTGGAGAGAAGGGGCCAGAGCATGAGTTCCAAGTCAAAATTCGTAGGGGTCATCGGAGTGCCTTTCTCAAAGGGCCAGGTGAGTACCAAATGTGTCCTTCAATAACTGAAATTCATGACAAAGTCTCAGACTTCAGAATTCGTAAGGTAAGGTGTTAATGTTAATGTCTGCTAAGCTCTGTTCCCTCGGACAACTGGGCCTGACATTTATATATATATTTTTAAAGTCCTTTTACCATTTTGCAATGTTGGAGAATTATGGTCACAAACTCACTTATTCTTGTGGCTCCTAATCTCAGCCGCAGCCGGTTGTATTTGAATCTACTACATTTTTCTTTGTATTCTTTGAGAGAACATATTTTTATTTGAATGGAAATGGACTGCGTCTGTATTATAGCTACTCGTTGAAATTCCCATGTGCTCGTTGCTTTCGGTTTCATAGTGCCTATGCAGAAGCGAGAGGATTTTAAGAAAATGCATTGGTTTAGTCATGTGTTAATGCCTAGAAACATCTCATGGATTGGCAACAATTTTCAGACTTCTTTTAGTCTGCATAACCTAAATGTTACTGCTTTATGCAACTTGGTGAATGATTCGTGTTATTTGAGGGCTTTCACAATCCTGTGAAAGTGTTAGTTCATGCACTAGGTAAAAACCTTTATGTATCTCTTTTTGAGAGAGGAAAAAAAAAAAAAGGAAAGAAAAGAAAATCCAACTTGGAAGTTGGCAACATTGAAGGGACTAATGCATTTATGAAATTCCCAGATTGCCAACACATTCCAGCAGCCTTGAACTTTGCAGCCTTTTCTTCTGGTGAGTGCACTCATTCTGGCAAACATAGTGTGATTAGAGACCTCAGCCTTCAGCAGGCATCTGTGCTTAAAGGGGGAAAACAAGGAACAAAAACAAAAGCAAATGAAACTATGAGGGTTGATATTTTGTCATCATGGTTGTTTCAAACGGGGTCGTCTCCGTCTTCCAGCATTCTCTTTGCCCATCTGGACAGCGGTTCACTCCTCTTAGTTTTGAGCTTGTGCTTGGCACTCCAGTGTGTTATTGCAAAATAGATTGGGAGAGGTCAGAGGGTAGAGACCCAAACTGCATTTGGACTGTCAGTAAACACTGCTGCACCTCTCCTGGTCATCCTTCAAAGCTCTCTTCCGGAACACAGGGACATTTTGCTGACATGGAAGTGTCTAGTGCTCAGATTAATCATAAAAACCACAATATACTCACCTCTTCTTGCAACAGAAGGCCGAGTGAAAATAACTGACTGAAAGGAAGGAAAGGAGGAAGGAAAATAAAAATTTAAGAAGGAGAAAGTAAGGCAGAAGGGAGGAAGTGGGGGAGGGAAGGAGGCAGGAAGGCAAGCAGCAGCCTGAATATACCCTGGCCCTTGGTCCTCACCAGAAGATTTTATGCTACGATAATAATGGCCCTTTGAAAGGATAGTATTTTGAAACACAGCCTGACACTATTTTCTATTCTTAGTATTTCTTTTCCTCTACAGCTCTTCCCCTATTAAAACTTGACCCCGTGAGAAAGAAGCTTATTGTCTCCTGACAGGAAGGGCTCAGAGAGAGGTGTTTCTACACTAAGCCGTAGCATGGGAGGAAAATGGCGGCCAACGTGTTAGCGTCTCTCCTCACCTAAAGGAGGTAGAGGTTTACAAATAGGCAAAGGAGAGGATTAAGGGCATATGGCTTAGAAGGTTGAGTCTGAGAAAAGATTCCACTCCCTTGCAAGGCAGTGAGTGATGGGGGAGAGTTGATGGCCAGAAATGAGAGAAGTAGGATATTTATTGTACCGTTCACTAAGACTCAGAGAGGGTTAGCCATTGGCTAAGTTAACTCGCCTCGACTGTGTGATTCCAGACAGGATTCCGTGATCCTGAAGCCTATGCCCCTGACTTGTGTCGATGCCTTTCGAGCTGCCGCAGATTTGATGCTTGTGGCCAGTTAGGGCTGGGGGCCCAGCTTTGAAGTCAGTAGAGCTAACAAAGCGATTTCCAAAGTGGGCAGATAAACCAAGCAACGAGAAAAGACTCATCATGAGCAGCAGTTTGAATAAAACGAATACAAAAGAATGATGGGAAGTATCACTCCGGGAAATCTAACCACTGTGTTGGTGCAAATAGAGTGTCAGAGGAAGGGTCTGTAAAACTTGTTCCAAAGCTTGAAAGGAAGAGGGAACCGGCCAGGGGGTCTTCTCAAGGTGACCAGCTTTTGAGCATCTGACAAGCACTATGACACGTAGCCCCCTTGGGCTGAAATCTAATCACCGAGGAAAGACAAAGTAGATGAACACAAAGCCAATGGCAAAGTTTGAGCCAAGTGGCACTCTACTGAGGTTTAAAGAAGAGGCAATTACATCTGCTTCAAGAAGGAGGAGTCTGGGGGTGGTCACACAAGAAGGCATGCATGGGGCAGAGGGGTGGCAGAAACTTGCCGCCTGGAGCAGGAATGGGACACCCAGGGTGTGCTTGGCCACCAGGCAAGTCAGCTGTCATCGGAATTAGATAGATATAGCTGCTTTGTTTGGGGCCACGGCCCCAATCCTAGGGACAGACACACGTGTCTTTTGGCACGTCTTCTGTTGGGTAACCCAAAATAACTTCCTGTGTCTACAAGCCTTGCTGGAAGTCAGAATCCGAGAGCTACAGAAGAGAACTCTCTGTTTAGGCTTCTATTCTGCCAGGAAGCTGGAGAGGTTGTGGGGCAAGGAGGAAGTGTCTTTGCTGAAAACAGCAAGGGGAGAATTTTTGTCAGTCGTGCTGAAGCAGGTCAGAACCTGAAATACCGGGTTGGTCTTTGTGGATTCAGCTCCCAGGTGATGACTTTCTGTGGCCTCTTTTCTCCCTGGAAGCTCTCTGACTTATCACCCTGTGGACACTCACGTAGGGCTCTCTAATGCGAGGCTCGATTGTTTTCTTAGGCTTTTACCCAAGTTTTTCTCTGGGTTTGCAAAGTAGCTCCACCTCGCCATCCCTGTTCCTGAAAACTCATGTTTTCAGCTGAAATGTCATCTACTCCCCGCAGCCTCTCCTGGCACCCTCTGTCCCTGCCCGGCAGGGTTTGGAGGGTCCTGTTTCTGTGGTTGCGACCTCTTGTACCGGCCCTGAAGCACATCTCCAAGGACTGTAATTGGGGTTAAATATACAAATTCCCCATTAGCTCATGAGTTACTCAACAACAAGAGGCCTCTCTTTTTAGTTGATTGCCTCTCTGTCTCTCAGAGTGCTTTTGCATAAGATACGCGTTCACCATGTTGATAGCGTGGTGTCTGTCATGGGAAGAGGAGACGCAGGTTCTGGAATCCAAGGATATGAGTGGAGGCTCTGCCATTTGTTAGCTGCATGCCTACAGGAAAGTGAGACGGCCTTTCCCATTCGAGATCCTCATAGCTGACCCGGGACTCGTTCAATCCGCCTGACTTGACCATGAGGTAAATTCCTGGCTCTGGAGGAACTCTGAAAATGATAGTTACTCTTCACCTGATTAAAGAATGAAAAGAGTTTCTCTTGTGGGCATCTGATCATGTCTGAATTATTTTGTTTTTTTAATCGTTCAGCCACGAGGAGGGGTGGAAGAAGGCCCCACAGCGCTGAGAAAGGCCGGCCTGCTGGAGAAACTGAAAGAACAAGGTAATTTTTCCACTGGAAGATGACCAGCCTGCTTTCCTTCCCACGCTGGGGAAAGCAGCAGGCTTCTGCTAAAAGAGGGGGTGTATGTGGACTGACATTTCTCACACAGAATGGCAACACTCGTGGTAACTTGAGAGGTACAGCCTATTAAAAAAAAAAAAGCAGTGTATGGAGAAAATGCTCCATAACTATTGTTGGATGAATGTTCTCACTCACAAAATGAAAGGTATTTTGTCTTTCCAGCCAGGAGCCATAAAAGAATAAAAGAATATAAAAGTATAAAAGAATGTGTGAGCTAGAACTGCAGTTGGGTGAGGGGTGGGGCGTCAGGGGAATTGCAAATGGAGAGTAACAAGCAGCAGTAAGTACCCTGCTAGCAAGAGGACTCCTGTTTGTCAAAGGAAATAGAACAGTGATGGTGATGAGGAGGAGGAGGAAGAGGTATGTGTGTATGTGCATTTGCATACATGATACATACACAGAATGTGAGCTTGCAGATAAAAAATCATATGGAGGGGTGCCTGGGTGGCTCTGTGGGTTAAGCTTCTGTTTTCAGCTCAGGTTATGATCCCAGGGTCCTGGGATCAAGCCCCACATCGGGCTTCCTGCCCAGCGGGGAGCCTATTTCTCCCTCTCCCACTCTTCCTCCTCGTGTTCCCTCTCTCGCTGTGTCTCTCTCTGTCAAATACATAAATGAAATCTTAAAAAAAAATCATATGGAGTTTAAAAGTATAGGCTAAAGCAAATATCGTCTTTATATATAAAATCCTGATGAAATGTTGGCAAGAACACAAAGCCACTGGAACTATCATGTTTCTGGGGGGAAAGCTTAATGATACAGCCACTTTGGAAATCAGTTTGGCAGTTTCTTTCTTTCTTTCTTTCTTTTTTTTTTTTTTTTTAAGATTTTATTTATTTATTTGACAGAGATCACAAGTAGGCAGAGAGGCAGGCAGAGAGAGGAACAGAAGCAGGCTCCCTGCTGAGCAGAGAGCCCGATGCGGGGCTCGATCCCAGGACCCTGGGACCATGACCTGAGCCAAAGGCAGAGGCTTCAACCCACTGAGCCACCCAGGCACCCCAGTTTGGCAGTTTCTTGAATAAACATCCAACTGCCTTCTGGCCCATCAGATCTACTCCTAGGTATTTCCCCAGGAGAAGTGAAAACACATCTACACCAAGACTTGTACCTGAATGCTTCTAGCAGCATTATTTATAATAGCCAAAAGAACGGAAACCACAAAATATCCACCAACTGGTGAAGGGATAAATGGTGGGAGGTACACCCATACTGTGGGCTAGGACTCAACCATAAAAAGGAAGGGGTCACGGACACGGGCAAGAACAGGGATGAAAGTAAAAGACAACATGCTAAGTGAAAGAGAGCAGACACAAAAGACTACCTACAGTATGACTGCTTTTACGTGAAATTCTAGAAGAGGCGAAAGTCTAACAACGGAAAGCTCATCAGCGGTTGCCTTGGGGTGGGCACAGGGAATGAAGAGGGGCATGAGGGAATTTGAGGGGGGTAAAGGAAGTGTTCTAAATCTTGATTATGGTGGTGGTTTCAAAACTGTAGATGTTCCTAAAACTCATTGAACTGCAGTTAAAATGAGTGAATTTTAGTAAATAAGAATTATATGTCATGAAGCTGAAAAAAGGAGGGGGATAGAGAAGAGAAGGGATGTGTAAATGAACTGGACTAGTCTCTCAGTTAACAAGCATCATCTGGTCAGATTTTACATCGGGTTCAATCTCTTAAGGGTGTTACTGAACCCTGGATATGCACAAACATATAGTAAATACATCAGATGATGAGGTTAATTCAGAACACTGAACTGATCTCATGTCACAGTTCTACCGGAAACTCTGTGCTTTGAAGCCTAATGCAAGGCCTTCTCAGGAGGTGCACCCAGGTCCTTAGGAACCTTGGGTTATCTACAATTTCTCCTTATTAAAAAGGCATACTAATTAAGCCTTTATTTCTTGAGCTCAGTGAACTGTTAAGCTCGTTGCTAGTCATATGCTTACTGAATTCTGACAATACCACTCTGAGGCAGGTACAATCCATAGAGGAGGGACCCGAACTGCTTCAGCAGGTAACAGATTGGATTGAAACCAAGGACTGTCAATTATAGTCAGAAAATTTAGAAAATAGTGGTATAACAGGTGTATTTCCTTCTGGGCATCTATATAATACATAATGCATAGTACATAATATATAATAGATAATATATATATTTATATATTCTTTTAAAAAACTATTTATTACAAATACAAAACATGCTTATTGGAGAAAGATAGAAAGCACATAAGCAGAGAGGGCCACATGGAGATAAAGACAACGAGGCCGCTCATTAAGCCCAAACCGGAAGATTATCATGGCCCTACTCTGGTGTCCAGCCTCAATGGATTGATCGCAGAAGTATTTGCTGAGAACCTGGTGTACAGATGAGATGACGATATCAGGCAAAAGCAGACACGGTTTCTACCTTTGTAAATTTTATGGTCCTTCTCGATGTTTTCTCTGCTTATCCTTATAAAAAGTACACTGTTTTGTAAATTTGGAATCATCTTACACAGATTGTTTTGTAATCTTTTTTTATGTAGTAACGCGAAGCTTTTGGTTTTAACTACAGAGTGTGATGTGAAAGATTATGGGGACGTGCCCTTTTCTGATGTCCCTAGTGATCCTCCCTTTCAAATTGTGAAGAATCCGAGGTCTGTGGGAAAAGCGAATGAGCAGCTGGCTGGCGTGGTGGCAGACGTCAAGAAGAGTGGAAGGACTAGCCTGGTGCTGGGTGGAGACCACAGGTCTTGTTTCATGATCCTCTCTCTGAAGTCTGGCACAAATGGCGTAAGGGAGTATAACCAAAACCCTGAGAGAAGAGAAAATGAAAGAGAAAGCACTGATCCATACTTGATACCAAAATTTCTGCCTTTTTTTTTAATTGTTTCAGTTACTATTTTCTTTTTTTTTCCCATTTAAAAAAATATTTTTTTCAGTGCTCCAAGATTCATTGTTTATGCACCACACCCAGTGCTCCGTGCAATATGTGCAATTACTATTTTCTTTTGGAAATAGAGAGCTCTATTTGAAGTCCTCCATTATCTATATTACAGCAGAAAGTATATGACATGAGCGGATTTCAGTAAAATACTCAGCACAAATTTACATTCCTAAATGAATAAGCATAAGGAAGTTCTTAGCCAGGTTATTGTACTTGATTCCTGATAGCAGGAACAACTCATTTAAGTCAGTATTTTAAAGTATGTTTCCCGTTATAAAAGTAATCATTTCAAACTTTTTGAAACACATACACACACACACACACACACACACACACACACACACACACAGATAAAATAGTAGTAATTTTATTTCCTAACAAGCATTTCAAGTGAAATTGCAAATCGGGCATATTTCCTTTGCCATACTGTTTCCCTTGTACCCCTCTTTGTTTAACATCCCTGTTATCTGATACTTTGTTCTTTTTTTTTTTTTTTAAAGATTTTAGTTATTTATTTGACAGAGATCACAAGTAGGCAGAGAGGCAGGCAGAGAGAGAGAGGGAAGCAGGCTCCCTGCTGAGCAGAGAGCCCGATGCGGGGCTCCATCCCAGAATCCTGAGATCATGACTTGAGCCAAAGGCAGTGGCTTAACCCACTGAGCAACCCAGGCACCTCCCGATACTTTGTTCTTAACCTAAAGTACTGATTTCCTTATGTTACCTCATAATGTATATAAGCATAATTTTTATTGTTGCATACATCAGGGTATTAAATCACTATACATATCCATATTGTCACGTATTCAGGTAATTTTCAAATTTTCTTGATTATAAATAATGCGGCAAAGACCCTTTCTGTGTGTGAGCCTTTTTGATGTCTACTCTCGAGGTCCCCGAGTACCTCACCAGAGGGCTGACCAGATCAGAAAGTACAAACGTGACAATGGCTCTTGATGCCTGAGTCAATCACTTCAGCTCCCTGTTTTCCTCCAAAGCCAAACCCTTTCCAGGGCTCCTGTGTGACAAAACTGTAATTGAGAAACTGGGGCTGACTTTCTTTCTTAAGTGGAAAAATTTGTACGTGGAAATGTTAAGAGTGGCAAATAGCCACAAGACAAGAAATCTGAAGGGGAAACAAATATTACGCTGGATAAGCAATACCTAAGCTTCAAGGCAGGTTACCTTCACCTTGAGCATCTACAAGTTCACAATTCCCTGAGTGACACCTGACCATCTGTAGGTGGGAGAACACAGGCGCCAGATGGCAAATCCCGATCTTTGAACTTTTATGTAAGATGTTATTCAGCGCTTCCATCCTGGTAAATTTTCTGGAGCTTGGAGTGTTTGAGGTGAACTTTGAGAGCTCTGGACTTGGCTAAGAGCGGGTCGTTAAATGTGTGGCAGGAAGAGTAGAAAGTTCAAGCAGAGCCTCTGAGGGTTGAACAGCAAGTGAGCACCTGGGAAATGCCGGCTGAACTGGATGCAAGGATTTCTGAGTGGTGCTCCCCAGTTGTACAATAATTGGATTTTAGGAAAAATGGACTCCGTGGTAATTCACTTGAAAGAATGAAGTATTTACCAAGACACATGAGCATACAGGAAACGAGCCTGATTTAATCTTGAGAATTAAATAATGTCTCATGCTAAGGAATTTCTTGTGTGGCTAGTGTTTTTATATAGATTTAATTTCTGGTTAAAACAATTTTATTAGAAGGTGGTTTCCAAAAAAAATAAAATCACAAGTTTTTTATTAAGACCATTAACGGAAACTTAACTTGTTAGTAATTAAGCATAACCTATGCTTTTCTATTGTTATAATTATTTAATTGGCACCTGCAATTAAAAACCCGTTAGAAGTACCAGCCATTTTGACTTAAAGGAAAACCAAGTGGGAGCACTGAGTTAATAATATGATGGTTGGAATAGTAGTGCAAACCTGATGTTCACACAAACTTTTTTTCCTCTCAAGTATGGCAGTCGGAAGCATCTCTGGCCATGCTCGGGTCCACCCAGATCTCTGTGTCATTTGGGTGGATGCTCACACTGATATCAACACTCCACTGACAACCACAAGTGGGAACTTGCACGGACAACCTGTGTCTTTCCTCCTGAAGGAACTAAAAGGAAAGGTAAGGGGCTGGTTGGTATTCTATTAGAAAGAAACCATCTTCTCTTTAGCAGAAGTTCAGGAGATAGAACGGAAGGAAGAACCTGGTGCCATCTTGTTTTTGGTGTAATCTCAAACTATTTTCTCAGCACCAATAAGCTAAGGGTTGATACATAAAGGAAGTGAGGGTCTGTGCTTCTACCTTACATGACAGTTTGCAAACTGACTTTACATGTCTTCCCTTTTGATTCTTAAACTACCCTTTTTAGTACATGAGGCAGAGAGTAATCCTTTCTAAACAAGTTAGCATAGGTTCAGAGGTTAACTGACTTGCTCAAGATTACATGCCAAGCACATAGCGAGGGAAGGGCCAGAACTGGTCTATAAACTACCTCTTTCTACATGTGCCACACGGCCTCTCCTGTTTCCCAAGCATCCCCTCCACATCATGGGAACTTTTTCAAAAATGGAGTTTTAAAATGTGGATTACAATGGTTTATTATTTTACATCTTTACTGTGTAAAGTTCATATCTACATCATAAGAACTAACTCCTCGCTCCATTCTAAAAAGATGTGAGATGACATTCCAGATTAAGATTTAACGTTGTGGTTCATATTCACTGATATTCTGTAGCATATCGATAAAATGATATTAAATCACTATCCATATCCAGATCCATATTTTACCATTTTCATCTACAACTGTAGAATCTTGGTCTTTATGATGATACCTGGAGATTCAAATCCCCTTGTTAAGGGCTCGGAAGTAACACTTTCTGAACTGATGACCAAGTGCTAGGTTTATAAATTTCCAAAGTGTGTAGTTAGTACACGGGAATAGCCACCCTTGGCTCCAGGACATTTGGAGAGTAACAGAAGGGCTGCTTGAAAATCTCCCTCACTCTAAACCATCCTTGGGATTAAGTCTTCACTGCGAAGAGGAATAAAAAAGGAAGCCAAAAGAGTCATGAGAGCACACTGATCTCTTTATAGCAGAGTTTTGGGAAAGCAGGGTGCTCTCCCATTCCCAGGGGAATGGGGTACAGAGCAGGTAAATGATGACAAATGATTCAGGTCAGGTCTGGGCTACAGGGTGAAGGTGAGTAAGGCCAAAGTCCTCTAGAGTAGCACAAGGAGAGGCAGGCATTCTCTTCTGAATTTTCCATGGTGTTTTAATGATTTCTTGGAAACTTACAATCTAAATATAAGATATATGCAATCCAGTAAAGGCCCTTAACTTTCAATGTAAGATTTGCTCAAGAATCATATATTCTAATCAAATGAAAACATTGTAATTTTAGATCCCCGATGTACCAGGATTCTCCTGGGTGACTCCCTGCATATCTGCCAAAGATATTGTGTATATTGGCCTAAGAGACGTGGACCCTGGGGAACAGTAAGTTTATTCCTTGGTGTGAATTACCTTCATTTTCTCTCTTTTGCATGCTAGGCAACCTGGCCAAGCCTATGAGAAAAAAATTATTTTAAGCACCAAGTATATATATCAATACCTATATACCCATATAAATATTTATCTATAAATCAGGTGATTTTTATACTAATTGCCTTGCTGTTAAAACACATTGATATAGGGACACCTGGGGGGCTCAGTTGGTTAAGCATCTGCCTGCCGCTCAGGTCATGACCTTGATCCTGGGATCAAGACCCACGTCAGGCTCCCTGCTCAGTGGGAAGCCTGCTTCTCCCTCTGCCTGATGCTCCCCATGCTTGTGCTTGTGCTCTCTGACAAATAAATAAATATTTTAAAAATACATTGATATATACATATAGTTCATAGGATTTATTTTATGTATCTTACCACAGTCATCTTTTCTTTAAAAAGAAACAAGAGAGCATAGAGTTAGACTCTTTATTAACTGTAGGATTATCTTAATATCTCCTCTTTCCTAGCTACATTTTGAAAACTTTGGGTATTAAATATTTTTCAATGACCGAAGTGGATAAACTGGGAATTGGCAAGGTGATGGAAGAAACACTCAGCTATCTACTAGGAAGGTATGATGCTTGTGTGTAATGTAAATATTATTAAAAGGACTTACTACTGATGTTAATGTAATTAATAAAGCCTTCTTGTAAAATTATGGAACTTCACTGGATTGTTACTTTTTATAAAGTAAGGCAAGAACTATATTTATGTGCTATGTATTAAACCACCAACTTTAATCTGAATTTCTTTCCCACCTCTTAAAAGAAAAAAAAGGCCAATTCATCTGAGCTTTGATGTTGATGGATTGGACCCATCTCTCACACCAGCTACGGGCACACCAGTTGTCGGAGGTCTGTCTTACAGAGAAGGTCTCTACATTACAGAAGAAATTTACAAAACAGGTATATATTTATACCCTCCGATCTGAAAATCAAGCCCTGTTGGATGCTTCCAGAATGCCTATCACATGATGCAATCACCACATGTTTACACTCCTGGAGTGTACAGAGTACTGAGTGGACAGAGTACTGAGTTAAAAATGTCAATTATTTAACAAATTATATTATTTTCCATTGTTGTTGCAGGGCTACTCTCAGGATTAGATATTATGGAAGTGAACCCATCTCTGGGGAAGACACCAGAAGATGTAACTCGAACAGTGAACACAGCAATAGCAATAACCTTGGCTTGCTTTGGAGTTGCGCGGGAGGGTAATCATAAGCCTGTTGACTACCTTAACCCACTTAAGTAAATGTGGAGACACCATGTAAAAATCTCACAGCTAATGTCATAATTAGCCAATCTAATAATTTACTTAAGCTTACAGTTATCCTCCCTAAAATTTGGTCTTTCTGAAAAATGTTCTGCCTTGGCAAATACTGGTGTAATTAGTATGAACTATCAATTCCCTCTTGGTGTGAACTTCAAGATTTGGAAATTCTAAGTTTTGTATAATTAAAGACACACACAGAGGCAGACTCCTGATATCAGGAGATAAAACTATCCCACCTGAAAAGGGACCATAATCCCATGTTGTTCAAAAGATGTGATTTTTTTATAATAAAGTCTTTATAATAAGGTTCTATTATGTTTATATGTTTCTAAACACATGGATTTACTAAGGATTTAAAAAGCCCTCAGTGAAATCATCATCCCCCAAACACTGTAAAACTGGTGAGACAAAACTCTGCCTCCTGGTTTCTTCATCTCCAAAACAGGTAACGGTAAGGCCTTGTGAATCTTCAAGTTCATTAATGTTAGATGACCATGTTTTACTTTTTCTAAACCTCAGACATGATATTGGCTTACATTTGAAGCAAGGTTGCTATTCAGGTAGCCTTTTTGGAGGTAGAAAAGAAACTGCTATTTGCGTCTAAGACCTTCTAATTCAGACAGGAATTTCACCTAAAATAATCTTTGGCTTCCAAACACTTCCCTCTCCGCCCCTTCACTCATTGCAATTAGTGTCTCATTGGCTGCAATCCTTAACCCCAAAACTCATCTCAGCTCTGGAATATAGTAAGGGAAATGGAATAAAATGAATAAAGGGTAAACTACAGTTGACCCTTATACATGGATTTGAACTGCATGGGTCCACTTACACACGGACTTTTTTTTTTTTTTTTTTTTTAATACAGCACAGCAATGTAAATGTATTTTCTCTTATGATTTTAATAACATTTTCCCCCTAGCTTTATTATAAGAATACAGTATATAATACATATTATATATGTATGTTATCAACAAAATATGTTAATTGGCAGCTAATGTTATCAGTAAGGCTTTTGGTCAAAAACAGGCTATCAGTAGTTAAGGTTTTGGGGAGTCAAATGTTATAAATTTTCGACTGTGTGTGGGGGTCAGCACCCCTAACCCCTGCGTTGTTCAAGGGTCAGCTATATAATCAAAGTCAGGGAAGCAAACTCTTCCCCTTTGCCCCAGCTTATACAGAACTCCAGCGGACTCTGTAAAGAAGCCGGTCCCATGAAAGGACTTTTACTGCTGTAATGGCTATGTGTTAAAGAGCCTCTATCATCTGATGTTTCACATGCAACCCAGAATCTTAAACCCAAGTGTTGACACTATAAACTCAATAAGATGTATCTTACTGGATTACTTTTAGGTAAGAGCAATTATGATGGAACTTAAAGTATAATGTTCAGTAATGTAGGCACATGGGGTTATTTAAATTAATTAAAGCTTAATAAAATTAAAAATTCAGTTCCACATTTCAAGTATTCAGTAGGCACGTGTAGCTTCTGACTGTACTAGACAGCACAGACACAGAATATTTCCACCACTGCAGAAAATCCTGTTGGACAGCCACTCTGAAAATGACTATTAATTTTCAGAAAGAAAAACTTTGAGGATGCAATGAATATAAAGGCATTGTTTTCCCCTCAGGTGCATTCTAAAACCAAATAAATCTATCTTCTTCTAATGTCTGATTAACAATTCTTTTAAAAGCCTATTTTGGAAAAATCATATTCCTATATTTTTAGTAAGAGAGGAATAAAGGGAACTTTTAATAAATTAACTGGAATGTATTTGTCCTTGAGAAAAATGGTACTGATTTTCACTTCCTTTATTCTGCTTGTATAATACCAGTGTCACAATTATTCCTATTCTATGATCTCAACGCAATACATTCTTCAAGGCAGCAAGAATATATTGAAACTATGTTAAAAGTAATACCTGAATTCATTTCTAGCATTAAACTTCTGGAGAATTTTAAGAATATCATTAACACAGAAAAATTACTTATACCGTTATAGAAATTTTAAGCTGGGCTTGCATGGCAAATAAAGATTTAATGATCAGAATAATATGAACCACAAGGAAGACAAAGGTCTAAGAGGGATGTATTTGGAAATAAAGATTTGAAGTATAGTTCAAACTTCTCTGATTCTTTAAAAAACAAAACAGTAACTCTTAAGTCCCAAGCCAATGTCAGTCACCAACTGTAGTGTACATCCCATAGCAACAGCCCGGTTCTCTGCAGTCAGCATACTGCCTGGAACACAGCAGACACTCACTCAGATTGAGTAAGTCATCAGTTTATTCATTCAACAGATTTTACTTACTTTTCAAGGCTTTTACAATCTTAATGCCATTTCCCCCCTCCCCAAATTAACAGTTTGTCTCTCAAATCTGATAAACCTTAAAGAACCAAAATGTATGCTATATTTAAAAATATAAATACTTAAAAATTTTAAGATTATAAAAATTTAAAGAATCGCATCATTGGCTAGGTGAACGTGTCAACCTGGAAAAGCAAATAATTTATTTTTAAAAACAGAGATTGGAGAGCACCATTTAAGCACGATTTTATTTAAGTTTATGCATTTCTATGGTATTTTCTTACAAGCCTTCCAACTCATTTCATACAATAAGTTTAAGGCAAAAACTTGCCAATCTGCCTTGATAGAAACATTAACCCATTTCTTTGGAAACCTATGGTAAAATTTTTAAGTCATTTTTAAAAGAATATGAAACTGTGCTCCTGCAATGCAATGAAATCTAGAGTCCTTCGCTTGACAAAAATCTCTTATCCCAAAGATACACCAAGAGATTTATGTATAAAATGATCAGATAACTATTTTACATGTGTGGTGCCTTTAAAACAATGTATTTGAAGACTGAAGTCATTAACAATAAAAATTGAAAATAAAACCAGTGGTTAGAATAGGAAAGATTGGAAGTATCTACAAAAGTCATTTGATCATAGATACCTCCATATTCCTAGGTAGATCTAATAAATTGTTATGGATATGAGCAACATGCAGCTTACTTGATCTCTTAGAGACAAAAATATAGATAGGGAGATGGGAGCTATAAAGTATCAATAGATTCATCATTAGAATCAAAATAAAACAATCTGAACACCACTGCTTCTACTACACCACTATGTAGCACGACCATGTTCAGATTTAACAGGTTTGAGTCCACTTTCAAAGACAAATGTGTTTCCATTTTCACCACCATACACCCGGACTTCACTGAGTTACTGGTCAAGACCCTGGCACCTGATTCGCCTGAGGTGCCGGAGACCCACTACTCATGGCCTGTGGAGGCACGGCAGCTGGTTCCATCTTGCTAATGTGTGTGATGAATCGAAGACGGAGTTTTAAAGCTGGTTTTAAGTTACAGATAATCTTCTCTACCTAAGAAATAAACACATTAAAAAATATTTCAACCAGAGAACTTCAATTTCCCACCTTTAAAGAAGTGCTTTATTTATATCTGGAGATAATAAACTAGGTAGTGGAATAGGCTAGATGAGAAGTTTCTTTCAGTGTTTTATGTTTTAACAAAAGCAAATACAATTATTTCTCTCTCACATGAGTAAAAAAATGTGTTCTCCCTCACACACATTATATGTGTGCATATAATCTATTTATGTCCACATTTACAAAAACATACTCACTTACCTAGTTAGCCAGTCATCCCACTGTCAAACGCTAATATAGTTTACACTGGAAATTTTATGTATCCAACCAGTTCATCATCCTTTTCTTTTTCTTTCTTTAATATATTTTTTTTAAGATTTAATTATTTGAGAGAGAGAGAGAGAAAGAACAAGTGGGAGGGGTAGACGGAGAGGGAAAGAATCTGAAGCAGATTCCACGCTGAGCATGCAGCCAGTCTCAGGGCTCCATCTCACGACCCCAAGATCACAACCTGAGCTGAAACCGAGAGTTGGACACTTAACTGAATGCACCACCCAGGGACCCAGTTCACCATCCTTTAAAATGCCATCATCACAGAAGCATGAATCATGATTATATTTTGAAGTTCTTTGAATAACTTAGGTCTGTCACATTTATCTACAAAGCTAATTTTTTGGTTTTGATTTATACTAGGAATTCAAACAAAATAATATTAGATCTACTTTTACTTAAAATACTTTAAAGAAATAAAACAGCAAGCAGTTCCATGGCTTTCTTAGCTTTATTCAAATGCTCTTTGACCTTACCAGGAAAGAGCAGCTCAGTAATTTTTCCTTTCTGTATTCCCTTGTGTCAAAGTTTCTCAAGCCCAAATACAAAGGATATGCTAAATCAAACATTTCTGTACTGGTTTCCACTCAGAGAACTCTGACAATCCTGCTGAGGAAATAAAGAAACGAACATCCTCCCCACTCCATGTCCCTAGCTCCAAGGAAAGAATCCAGTAGACTGGGGTTCATAAGTTTATACATGAGTTTACCTTCCTTTCCTGCCAGAGAAAGAAATAACATTAAGGTATAGAGGGGAAGTCACCTCATCTATCTGCCCTACCTCCACCCTTCTAAAAGAGCCAACCTTCTTTCTGTTTCCCACAGATAGGACACAGTCACGATTCAAGTTACGATGCCCTTTCCACTTACAGACGACTTTACCAGAAAGTGGCTCTTTATATGCTGAGTCAGAATGTGCTTCCCTTTAACGTCACTGGAGTTTATATGCCTTTTGAAGTCGCACAGAACAAATCTAATGCCAGTTCCAAATGGCAACCCTCCAAATAGTGAGAACATGTACAATTCCCTGGGACTTTGAAAATTCAAGTTAAGTACCTCCAGTTCCTTCAAATACTTTATGAATCCTTTATGAATTATTGTTTTGATCCCCCTGGCTTCCATCTTCTAGTTATGCTGCAATCTGTCCAATGTCTCCATAGTGTACCCTAGTCACCGTGGGGAAAAGTGGGATCTTCTTCACTCATTACAAAGCACCTCTCTGGTATTAAAAATGTAGCCATTCTGTACTGTTTCTTCCTAATGAGATTACTATTAATCAACCACCTAAGTCTTTTTCAGATGACTTATGTTGCAAATATCAAGGGGAAAAAGTGTGAGAAATTATAACATGTATTACTAGTACTTGAATTATATATGCAGAATAATGTGTTTATGTAGCCTAAAAAGGTCTAATAATATCAACCTTTTCCCCTAAAAGAAAAAAAAATAACAAAAGTACTCAAACAAAAGTTATCATCATATATTGAAGTTTTCTAAACTAAACATCATTAAAAGATAATTAACTTACTTGTTCTTTTACGCTGTCACCAGTAAACATATACTTCATATGATAGAGGAAGTCAC